TCCATCCATCCACGCATCCATCCATGTCTGCATGTATCCATGCATCTATGCATCTATGCATGCATGCATGCATCCGTGCATCCATCCATCCATGCATCCATCCGCGCATCTGTGCATGCATGCATCCGTGCATCCATGCATGCATCCATACATGCATCCATCCATCCATCCATGCATGCATCCATCCATGCATCCATCCACCCACCCACCCACCCAGCCAGCCAGCTATCCATCCCCAGTACATACACTCTTGACATGCATTGCATAGACCTCTTCCGGGGCACTTGGGGTCTGGCCCTGGATCATCCGGGTCGAAAAACTCCTGATCTGCAAGCACAGCTGCCGCTGTTGCACACAATCCTACAAAATTCAAACCCTTAACTCCAAAACCCCGAAGCCCTAATCCCACACCGCAAACCCCCCGCCCCCCCCCCCAAAAAAAAAAAAGAGTAAGGAAGTAAGGTAGCCTAAGCAGTTTCCGTACAGTACTGAACAGTAGACATCTACTCGGACATCCGACTGGCACTCGAAGTAATCGCCGTTGATAGTCCTAAAGCCCTAAGCCCTAACTGCTCTGGTAAATCGGGCTCTGCGCCTGAGAGCCTTAGGACTTACTTGGAGGTTCATGGGTAGTTATAGGTAGGGTTATAAGTGGGGTAACTATAGCTATAGCCGAGATGAGGGGACGTATAACCCCACCTATAACTACCCACAAACCTCCAGTATGCTTGAGATATACAGCGTCTTTGTAAAGAGCCCCAAAGGCCCACCCCGATCCTCGGAAGGCTTCTGTCCCCGCACCCTAGCTTTTCCACAGACCAACGGTTTAGGGTTTAGGGTTTAGGATTTAAAGTTTAGGGCTTAGGATTTCAAGTTTAGGTTTTAGGGTTTAGAGTGTAGGGGTTTAGGGTTTGAAGTTTAGGGTTTAGGTTCAGGGCCCCTGATCCTTGAGGTATTGGATGAGCTTCGCGCAGGGCTCTCGGTTGAACCTGTCAGGCTGCACATAGGGAGCGCCCAGTTTAGGGTTTAGGGTTTGGGGTGCCCGTTAATCCAGGACTGTGTTATGTTGCTTTTTCAGCGATGTTGGGAATGTTGGGGTGTGGTGCTTAGGCGGTGGAGCCTCAGGGATAGGGATTGCAATGCAAGCTCAAGTTAGAAGGACTTGACCCTGGTTTTAAGAGTCCCCTGTACTCCGCTTGTTTTTCCGCGTCTTCAGAGAATATCCTGTAGAGTCTCGAGTGGCTCCATGCCAGTAGCTTATAGTTTGGTCTTTCAGAATTAAGGGGCGTTGGGCTTTCTGGGCATGCATTGCTTGCGATGCCATGGCAGCTGCACTTTTGCAAAGTTGGTGCAACAAGACTAATTACACCCGGCGTACCTCAGGTAGGTGCTGTGGTCTCCGATGGAGTAGATGCACTGCTCCACCACATCCTGCAGGGGCTTGTTCTCGTGACTACTATATTATATTATATTATATTATATTATATTATATTATATTATATTATATTATGTTATGCTATATTATATGTTATATGTTATATTATACTATATTATGTCACTGTTTCACTGCTCTCAGACATGTCGCCAAACTCTAAGCAGACAAAGCAACGAGCAGAGCCCCCGAGCTCTGGAAACCGCGGACACCCTCTCTCCATCCTGCAATCCAGCGCCCCAAGCCATAAGCTCCAAAACTCTGAACTCAAACTTCCTAAACCCTAAAGCCTAAACCCTAAACCCTTCAAAAAAAACCGCTGGGGCCTTCAAAGCCCGAAGGGCTGAGCTCAGACAGCCCCAAAGCCCCAGAGAGCCCAGGGGGCGCGCCCGGCCACTGAACCCAGATCCCGCCCTAGTCTCTACAACCCAAAACAAGGACAGAAGAGGGTTTTGGGGTCGCAACTTGCCGGATGATAAACTGTAACTATATCAGGGCTAACCCCATACCCCTACTAACCCACTATACTGTCGTACTGTAATTTATAGTGGCTTTCCTAACTCCTGTATTAACCCATTATACTGTTTTTCCATAACTATTTCGAGACGAACCCCATAACCGTAGCAACATACCAAGCCTCAGAGAGCTCGTCGGTGGCATCTGCGTCCTCTGAGTCAGAATCTCTGTAGGAGCCTCGACACAGAAGCTCGCTACTGGCTGAGAGGAAACAAACAGTTTGAGGCCAGCCTAGGGCGAATTTGGTTGCTGGGCCGCCAATGGGTGACATCCAACAGCACTGTGCTGAGCTCCAAGCGCTTGACTGCTGATTTAAAAGGTCGAATATTCCACAACAAGGGCGGATTCTGTTGATTCACTAGCAATCACAACGACAGCAAATGCAACGTGCATGGACTCCCAAATCCCAACCAAGCGCCCGGCGCAGCAAGCTCCAGTTCATGCCACCTCGTCTCCGGCGTCACTCGTACAAACTCGGTGCCCGAAACCAAAGCCGGACCCCCGAAGCTTTCGATTGACATGGTGGTGGTGTTGGTGTAGTAGTAGTAGTAGTAGTAGCAGTAGTAGGAGTAGTAGTAGTAGTAGTAGTAGTAGTAGTAGTGGTAGTAGAAGTAGTCATGACAATTGCAATGTTAATATTCACTCAAGTAATTGTCGTATTAATCAATACCTCTCCTAACACAAATAATGGAGGCTTCTGGGCCTGGGTCTGAGGCACCAACCGTAGTGTCGTTTTCGTCGCTTCTGCACAGAGCAGTACTTGCTCGCAAGGCTCTTGATGGCAGCCTGAGCTAGGGTACGTTCCTGTGCCTCGATTTATTCTGCATCGGGTGTAGAGGGCCCATTGGGCTCACACCAGAGGATCAACTGTCAAACCCCACACTACCCCAACAGTGCCATCGCAGAAACCATGCACAGCCGACTGGGAACCTGTGAAGTTCATCAATCGGTCTTGTACTCACCCGCGCCGAGTGTAAGTTCGGTGGCTTCTGATCACGCCCGCTGTTGTGAACCATGTAAATGACCGTCACTAGCACTATCATGGCTACCAAGCTGAAAAAACTATCATAGTTGTCGTAACTACTAATTACTGCGCTTGTTGCTATGTACCGGTCCGGCCCCTGCACAAAGACCGTGATATCCATAGCCCAGAAGCCTAAACGTGAACCTAAAACCCAAGCGGGGACATAGGAAACCTAAGCCTTTACTCAACAAAGCTTAACCACAAAAGGAACCTGAGGTACTAGACAAGAAACACTCACAGAAACCAGTCACCCCACACCAGAAAACGACAGGCCCAAGACCGAACAACACTCGCATTAGAACATCAACACAAACCTTTTCAACTAACCCCCACGCCCTGCAGTCGTCCCAAAAAGGCCTCTTTGGCCTTGATCTCGCGCTGGATTTGAGGACGGGCTGGGCAGCGAGTGTTGTTGGCATTGTGCTTGATCAGAAAGATCAGAAACCCTAAACCCCAAACCCTAAACCAGTGACCCTAAACCCTAACCCTGAACCCCAAAACCCTAAACCCCAAACCCATCAAACCCTAAACCCTTAACCCTAAAGTCTAAGGTTTAGGGTCTGTGAAGGTTTCAGAGTCCAAGGTTTTTCAGGGTTTAGCCGTTGTGGGCTTCGTCTTCAGGGGTTTAGATTAGGGCTCAGAGGATGAGAGTTGAAAATAGCTTCGGAGGTTTCCCCTAAACCCCTAAACCCTAAGCCCTAAACCCCTAAACCCCTAATAAACCTAAACCCTAAGCCCTAAACCCCTAAACCCCTAAAAACCTAAACCCCGAAATCAGGGTTCATGGGGGTGTTGTGTTAGAGCCGACTCGAGCCGTTTCGGTCTCAGGACCCGAAGCTGCTTCTTCGTTATAGCGGATTTAGGGCTAAGGGCTTTGGGGTTTATTTTAGGATTTAGGGGTTTTGGGGTATAGGGCTTAGGGGTTTTGGGGTTTAGGGTTTAGCGTCTGGGGTTTAGGGTTTGTGTTTTAGGTGCATATTTTACTTGTCTCTGTCAAGGGTTGCGAGTGCGGTTGGTTAAGCAAGGGTGAGTGTGGATCTGTAGCTTGGAAGAGACACCTGCAGCTATGGCAGATTCCTTTGAGTGGCTACCAGTGCAGCGGCTACGGGCGCTGCAACTCTACGTCGAGAACTGGACATCCTAAATCCGAACTATGCCCTACAACTTGGACCCGCAGAACATCCTGAAAACAAATGGCTTGGAACCTCGAACCACGGGGACGATAGGGCTGGGTAGGAGCCAAGACCAGAGGGCAAGAAGGGTACATGTTTAGGATTTAGGGGCTATAGGCTCTCGTGGCTTGTTGAGAGAATCGGGTTTCCATTCTGCTTGAGATTCACGGAGAAGAATTGAGCTGAAGGTCCGAACCCCTGACCACTGCTGTATGTGAACACCCAGGAAGCTTCAGAAAACTCATCATGGCATGGCTTCACAGACTAAAGACCTTGAATGCTCGCGCGAAAAGCAGCTGGCAGCAGTCCCCCCAAAGGGAACTATTATAGAACCCAGTACCCTGCAAGGGAACCCCGTATGATAGAACCCTAGAATACCCTTCAAGTATGATAGAACCCCATAATACCCTTAAAGTATGATAGAACCCCATAGTACCTTTTAAATATGATAGAACCTTATAATACCCCTTGAAGGGGCAGAACCAGGGGAATCTCCGAGTCCCCGGCTTTTGCCCTGCCACGGAAGGATTGGACAAATGCACTTTTGGGGTATCAGGGTTTAGGCGGTTTAGGGTTTAGGGGTTTAGGGTATAGGGTTTAGGGTATTAGGGTATTAGGGTTTAGGGTTCTACAAACGTAGCCGAAGATGTAGTGTGATGTTGACCACAGTATTGTGCTCGCATCTGGCAGTGGGCAGTCTGCGCAATACCAACAAGCCGAAAACATAGGGCCAATATGGAGTCCATTGTGATGCAGGCATGCAAGATTTGAGTTGGGCGCTAGTAAGACTGCAGCGTAGCACTACATCAACCGGGATGCCCTGAGCGGCAGCCGATACCCATATGTGAGTAATCTCTTACGTCTGAAACTCAAATCTCCCGCCTCCCAAACACGAATGCAAGAAGCACAGCTTTCGTGTTTTCGACGGAAGGGGGGGGTGGTTGCACTGAGCTGACACTGCTTTCTAGCTCTGTTGTCTTTCAGTCTGCCATCCCCTCAGTCCTTGCAGCCAAACGTAAAGTTTCCTCTCCCTTAATACCAGGACCCTCCAAGTACCCTCAAATAGGGGTAAAGGGTCCCAAATTAAGGGTATTTAGCGTCTAATAGAGGGTAGATGGGGGGTCTAGGTATAAAGCCAATATAATAGTGCCTTTGTACACCCCAGAAGCAACTTGTACAAACGCGAAGCAAATGCCTCCAAGCGCAGGAGGCCCTTGCCCCTCGACTCAACCGGAGCTTCCATCAAAGCAGCTCTCCTCCTACAACCCTACGAAATGCCAAACCCCCCGCTTTGTTCCATCAGCGAATCACCCATAACCCTCCAGGTAGTAGTGGCGTAGTACCCTGTATAGTAGGTACCTGGGCATTTAAGGCACACTGTGTCACAAGAAGATTGTTCAAACGGCGCTGTTCTAGGATCCCTGCTATGGACTCTTCACAACAATGCAATCTACGTCAAGTCCTACAATAGCCCGTAGAACCAGGAACCGATCCTCACTGGAGATCTCCATCGTGGCAGTCTTGAGCTGTGGATCCTGAAACGGCAATGACCACGATTTAGGGTTAAGGGCTTAGGGTTCGGGGTTCAGGGTTTAGGGATACGCATGGTGGCAATAGAAATTGAAACCACGGCAACACTAGCTTGTGCCAAGCATCTTAGCAGCACTCCCGATCATCAGCAAGGTAATGACGGTAAGCTCTTTAACGATGCTTCCATCTCTACCTACCAGCATCCACTCCTTTTCCTTCTTGCATACGACTCCCTCTCTTGGCTCTCCAGCTCCGTCGTCCTCAGCCCCCTTTGATTTCCTGTACAAAAGACAATGACCACCACCAACAACAACGCCACCGCCATGACCACCACCACCACCGCCACATCCTCAAGTGTGACCCAGGATCTGCGGTATTATAATAAAATATGATATAATATAATACAATATGATATAATATGTTATATTACAGTATATTATATTTTATTATACTAAATGTTTGGAATGGCTCCTGAAGCAGCTGCGTGCCCTTAGGAGATCGGCTGAGGACGTGCCACACCTTGAGCGGAAGGGGCCACTTCCTATACTGGCTAATGGCTGTCTTTAGGGTTTAGGGTTTAGGGCTCTTAGGGTTTAGGGTTTAATTAGGTTTAGAGTTTAGGGTTTACGGTGCTTCACTGCCCGAGCTTGTCCGCTTGGTCTTCGAGATTCCGTCTACTTATTGGTTAGCAATTGCAATGCAATGTTTCTACAGTTCAAGGGGCAGTGCTCCATTGCTGCGGGTTATTAACTGTAGCAGTCTCTGTAATATGGAAATGTGCATTTATGAGCGCTTGCCGAGTGAATGGTTGCATGCTTTGCATAAGGAGACCTACAAGCATGCTCCGTTGCTGCAAAGGTACGTGCGCGCACGAAAACTGAACCCCAAACCCTACAACACGAAAGCCCAAAACCCTAGCACCCAAACAGAATAACCCGAATACCGCAGTCTACACCCTGAATCCCCAAAACCCCCCAGCCCCAGACCCCAAACCCTAAAGCTCAAACTGCAAACCCAAAAAGTGTTCGAGAAATTGGGCCGGCACAGATCGCACGGGGCAGACGACGTCGAACCTCTCCACTAGCCAAAGGCTGCGGCCCGCTACAGGACGGCTGATTATGGTTTAGGGTTTAGGGTTTAGGCTATACAATATAGCTGAGAACTGGGGGGTTGCAGGGTATCGTATGTCGACTTGCATGAAGGATCCTACTACTTCGGGCTTAGGGCACGGTATCTGGTTGAGCTCCGAAACTCTGGAAACAGAGGGGGTAAAGCTGGCAGGCTCTGGAAGCGTTTGCGGAATTTCCTGAAACTAAAACTCGAGCCCGCGACCCGAACCCCCCCAAAGCGGCCACATTGCACGCCATCACCCCTTCCTACTACTCCTCTTCCTGCCCTTCCTCCTCCTGCTACCCTAAAGCCATAAGCCCCAAACACTAAACCCGTAAGCCTCAAAGCCCTAAAAGCCCTGACAGCAGGATCGCCGTCTGCGTTCCGCTGAGGGCCGGGCTCCAGAAGGTCGCGAACTTCGGGTTTTCGGGAGTCCTCACAGGAGGATCCAAATTTGGTTTAAATAAAAGGCTACAACGAGGGAATAGAGTGCAGGGGCTACCGGTAATTATAGTCATAAGGCATAAGGCACACTAGTACCAATGAAAACATGATCATAACAGCAATGAGAGAGGCAATACTGATTAATAATTAGCAGTAACCTGAGTCAGCAAAAGATGTGTGCTAGCAACATAGGATGATAACACTGGCAATCAGAACGAGACAACAATAAATCAATGAAAACAACAGTAACGAGAGTCATTATCACTGATAGTTAACTGAGCATGATGCAAACCTAACAATCGCAGCAGAAACAACAATGGGTTCTCATTTCTCTGGGCCTGTCCTGGAGGAAATACATCAGCTTCCCATATGAGTCGCGCATGCGCTCTGGGTTCAAGATCTTGTACCGCCGTCCTGAACCGCTTGGCAAGATACATATTACATCATATTGTTGCTTCTATATGGCTGCATATACTCATACAGCCCCATAGGGTCAACTGCTACATGCCTGCTGCAACTTATTGTGCAATACCAAGCAAGTAGAGCCTATTTCCAGCACGGTCTGGAAGAAGGCAGACCTCAAAGGCAACCAAGCAGGGTTCAGAGCCTCATGGGTTCGAGTTGAGGTTTTGTGGTTGGGGTTTGTGGGTTTCAAGGTGGGCGTAACGGGTTGGGCTTGTGGTTTGTCATCACTAAACCCTAAACCCTGAACTTGGTCCTAAACCCAAAACCCCTAAACCCTGAACCCCCCTAAACCCCAAACCCGTAAACCGTAAACCCCTAAACCCTAAACCCTAAACCGTTTGTGCATGCCCCACAGAGATTGAGGTTGAGAAGATCCATTGAGTCGGGTTCAGCACTCACTCTCCCGACCTGGGAGTGTCAGAACACAAGAGAGACCCCACCTATTTATTGTAAGGACAGCTACATGCCGTAATGTAGGCGCCCTGATCATTAGTATCGGGGTTCGGGGGATATTGTGATACAGGTTATATTATATTTATCCGCCGACCCCTGCTGGGGCGGCGCCAGTGAAATCCCGAAGGGTTGGTTTTTGCTTGTCTTCCCGTCAAGAAGAAGTAACAGGCTTCAAAAGTTGGCGACACCGCCACCCCACCACCCAC